CCCCGCGGCGGCCACCGGCAATTTGCCCTCCCCGTTCCCGTCCCACCTGCCCCTGCCCTACTACTCCCACATGGGCATCGGAGCCACGTCGGCCTCTGCCGCCACTCCCTTCAGTACCCCCCTGAGGCCGCTGGACACCTTCAGGGTCCTCTCCCACCCCTACCCGAGACCAGAACTGCTGTGCGCCTTCAGGCATCCCTCTCTCTACCCTGCCCCAACTCATGGACTCAGCAGCGCCGGGGGCAACCCCTGCTCCTGCCTGGCTTGCCACAGCGGTCAGTCCAACGGGCTGGCTCAGAGACCCTCCGGATCAGACTTTACCTGTTCGGCCACAACCAGGACTGACTCTTTCCTCACTTTCACTCCCTCTGTGCTGAGCAAAGCCACCTCAGTTTCCATGGACCAGCGAGAAGAAGTACCTTTAACGAGATAAACCTTCGTCTCAGGGTTATTAAAAACTCGCCCCTTTCCCGGGCTTCTCTTCGAGTTAATGTACCTACAGCCGATGTTTATTTGATCGTGTTCTCTCCCCAGAAGCGGACACCTACGGAAAAAAAGACTAAAAATAGCTCAGTCTTAAAAGGATTTACATTCCAAGGGGAGGGGGGGGGGAGAAGAAGGAAAGAAATGACTAGTGATTTATCTCTGAGAAGGATTTTGGGCACGGAAGAGGAGAAAACCAACCCGAATGAAATACACTTCGGTAACCTATAGAAATGAGCTGGGACTTTCTTTTCCATGGACAGACTTCTTACCAAGGGCTGGGGCTCCTGCGGCTCCCAGCAACAAACCTTATGCACAAACCTACGAGGCGGAGAAGGAAAATCTGAAATACTTGAAAGAAACATTATCTTGATAACGAAATGGCTTGTGCGCATGAAGAAAGCAAAGATGTAACCTACCAGAGTGTTTAGAAAATAAAAACAACGAGCAAACAGCAAAAACAAAAGGTTTCTGGATTGCAACCTAACAGTATTATCCAGTTATCTCTATAGAGAAAAACAATGCTTTACCATAAAGAAAAACTGACATTCTGTACATTACTTTCGTGGTTTAATTGCATTCTTTACTCTCCTTTGTCTCCTCCTTCATTTCGAGCAGAAATCCAGCATTTCGTCTCCTCTTTCATTCCAACTTTTATTTTTAAGAGGCAGACTGGAATTGGCAGGGAAAAAATACGAGCTCCTGCCTCTTTGTGGGTCAGGGCTATTTGTCCTTTAAATAAGAATGTCCTATTATCAGTTCCTGAAATGTGCCCACACTGACGAAATTAGCAAGTGATGTATATGTAAGGAGGGTTTTTGAATATGGAATGTATAATGCTCTGTGAGCAGAGACCCCGTGCCAAACGCTAACAAGCCGCCAAGGGAAGAGATTAGGTGACAGGGAGCACAACTCCTTCAGACAATCACCAGTCTGTAAATTGGAGCAAAGGCGATTTCCCTTCCTTTGTACTTCAGCCTTCAGTTCTCTCATTGACTTTTCCTTGCTGCGTCTTCTTTCTTTCTTTCTTTCTTTCTTTCTCCCCCCCCCGCTTTTTTTTTTAATTATTTAATTCATGCGTTGGGTTTTGTGTTTCCTTCCCCACCCCTAATCTTTGCATTTGTATGTGTCCTTCACACTGGTCCCTCTTCCTTCTTGAGGAGTATTTCTTTCACAAGCCCCCTCGCCTCCTCTTTCACGTATTTCGGAAGGAGGTAGCGTCATTGCTTTTGCTTGGATTTCTGTCAACCTAAAATTTAAAAAAACACGGACACCGGGCTGAGTAGTATTTTCTTCCAAAACCGGAATTGTTTATTTAATTTTATTTTAAAATAGCCCAAAGAATACACTGTCATAATTTGTTACATCAACAATAACGACACCAACAACGATAATAACAACAGCCACATTTTAACAACATATCACCCATATTTTTATTGTGTTTGTTAAAAAAAAAAAAAGTAAAAGTGTTGCTTAAGACGAATTTCACCTTCGTGCAGTTTCTAATAGTTACAGTCCAAGAAGCAGGAAAATAAATGCTGGACAGAACAAAGACGTGTTGACACCTCCGCTATCTACTTTGTGTTAAATTGCTGAGGAGCCTCTGGTTTATTGTCACACCGGAGACTTTTTGTCCTTAGGACAGGGAGCGAAGAGCAGCGTTTCCCTGTAGCGGACGGAGAGCGGGGAAGAGACACGGGCGTGCCAGGATATATTTTTCCAATCAAAAAAATTTGTTCATTAGAGCTTTTTAAAAACTGATCCAAAGTCACCATCTTTAAGTCATTAAGGGCAGATTGTTCCGTCCTTTCCGAATGAGATGTCCTCGTGGACATGGAAACCGATGGCCCCTTTTGGACACTCACAAATAGATTCTTCCCCCCCCCATCCCCCCGGAAATAACAATTGTAAACAGCGCCCAAGGGCAGCGCCGAACAACATCCGAGCTTTGCAAGCCTTTCCCCTCCTTACTTTGTCTTTTAGCAGGCAGGAGAAGGACCAGTCCGACAAAACGAGAGCTGCGGAGCGAGTGCCTGATACCACCCCCCCGGCGACCCCGGGGGAAGGAAGCGCTGAAGAGGCCGGGGGGCAGCTGAGCGCTGCCCGGCAAACCCGGGGGGTCCTAGGCGGCCCGCGACCCTCCCCTTCCCCGGCCAGGCGGGGGCACCTG